GAGTGGCGCCAAAATGTTCCCAAGTGGGCGGGTAAACTTTGAAGTTTAATTGTCAAAACTTTGAATTTTGATTGACCCGCAGTTACAAGCGATGGTAAGACCTTTTTTGAACATTTCCTCCACTGGGACCTTCCTTTGTAATAGCTAGTAGTTACAGTGTAGTTACAGCATGTATTTCAGAAAATTTATTGAGAAGTTCGACTGATCGTGTGACAGGAAGTCATGCCAACATTTTACCAAATTAGATTTGATGTTAATGACAAAGCAAACACACTTCAATGTAGTGAATGGGCTTGACAAGCCTCCGATTCACGACTCCTACGATTTGTGACATTTGAAAAAAAAGCTCAGAAAAAAAAATTATTACTCTCGACCCTCAACCCTCGACCCTTGACATGTGACCCTCGACCCTTGACCCTTGACAAAAAGATAGACTCCTTGTCCCCTTGGTATCTGCCCAACAAATGGATACTTTGAGTGATAATCAGTGACTACTAGGTACTCTGAACCCTTTAAGGTAAAGAGGTCTGTGCCAATCGTATGCCATGCCCTTTGTGGCATCTCTGTGAGGATCAGGGGCTCTCTTTGCTGGCTTGGCTGTAGCTCCTGGCAAGTGCTACATGTCTTGGTTATCTCATCTATGTCTTTGTTTAGCCCTCTCTAGTATACAGACATCCTGGCCCTGAGCTTTGTCTTCTCAGTTCCTTGGGGTGCCGCATGGAACTTTGTCAAGATCTCCTTCTGTAGTACAGTGGAGATAATGATGCGGTGACTTTTCATGGCTATCCCATCTTCGACAGCGAACTCATCACGAAAGGGCCAATAAGGCTTTAAGGGCACTGGGACTTGCTGGATGGTTGACAGCCAACCAAACTGGATCATTTCCTTCAGTGCATTGAGCTCTGGGTCTGACGCAGTTTGTTCTCTGATTCTCTGCAGAATGTTGTTACTGAATTGAGGGTGGATGTCGTGCACTTGGACATTCATCCTAGGGATGGCTTCTTTTTCTTCTGGTGATAACCAGGAGAGTGCATCTGTGCTTTTGATCCTCTTGCCTGGTTGGTAGCGGATGACAGAGTCATATGGCTGCAGTCTCAGTGGCATCCTCTGAAGACGTGGGGGTGCGGCTGTCAAGTGTTTTAGGTGAATACTCTCAAGGGGCTGGTGGTCAGTGTTGACAGTGAAACTGTGACCAAACAGGTAAGTGTGAAACTTCTCACACCCATACACCACAGCAAGTGGTTCTCGTTCAATGTTTGCATATCTTGTTTCCACATCAGTGAGTGCTTTGCTTGCAAAAGCAACAGGCTTGTTTTCTTGTAAGAGTGCTGCGCCCAGGCCTTTCAGCAAAGCGTCAACTTGTAAGGTGATCTCCTTCTTTGGATCAAAGTAGGTTAGAGTGACTTCACTACTGTTGGAGTCCTTGACTTTGTTGTAGGCTTCTTGGTGTGCTGGGATCCAGTCAAATTGGTGTCTTTCCTTTAGGAGCTCTCGCAGTGGGGTTTGTAGTTTGCCAGACCTAAGAACATCTGCAGTTCTTGGCCACTGGTTGGAGCTGACATTTGTTTCAGTGCTGAGATTTTCTTTGGATCCGGCTGGATCCCACCTTGGCTACAGACAACACCATAAAATCTGATTTTCTCCTGCTTCACAAAGCATTTATCAGGGTTCAGTTTCAGGCCTGTATCTTGGCATCGTCTTAGCATACCACGCACATTGCGGTCATTTTCCTCACTAGTTTTTCCAAAAACTACGATGTCGTCTGCATTCCTGCCACTCCTCTACAGCCCTCAAATGATTTGTCAATTTTGGTCTGAAGGATGTGTTGTGACATTTTTAGCCGAAAGGGCATGTGGTTGAATCCTCTGAAAGGGGAGTTGTATGATCAGTTGTATGTGGTGAGGTAACTGGACTCCTTGTCAAGAACAACGTTCCAGTGCCTGCACTTAGCATCAACAATGGAGAAAACTGTAGCTCTGGTCAATTTGGGTAGGATCTCTTCTAGCGTGGGGGTAACATGGTGTTCTCTCTGGATGGCTGCATTGAGATCTTTGGGGTCTAGGAAGAGTCTTAACCTCCCATTTTGTTTCTGTCGGTAGACTAGACTGTTAACCCAGGGTGTAGGTTCACCTTATATAGCATTCACTTTTGATGTCGTCTTTGAGGCTGATTGGCACGCATCATGGAGCATGAATCACTGGTGGAACATTGGGGTTGACTGTAATGTGGTACTCTCCTGGAAACTTCCCGATTCCATTAAAACACTCAGGGTATTGTGTAATCAGATCCTGCTTGTCTCTCAAGAGGATGGTTTCCTTGGCTTGCTCAAGAGTCGTGTCCTCCTCCATGACTGCTGGTGTGGGGATGTTGTGTCTGTATAGCATAATTGAACTGTAGCAGATTCAGGTCAGTGGAGGTTGGCCGGTCAATGATTGCTGGACGTGGGATGTCAGTGACGTAAAAGGGTGTGAGTGTGCTCTCTTTCACATAAGTGCAGGGTATGGTGACTATGCCATGGTGTTGGATTTGCGAGCCTCCATAGGCGCTGAGCACAACATTCGAGGACAACAGTGCACTGGGTTTGAGTTTACCATTGTTGTCTACTTGATGTGGGTACATTTCACGATAAAGCCTCATGGGTAGTATGTTGCCCTGGGCCCAAGTGTCAAGCTTGGCTCTTAGTGTGGTCTTCCTGTTATCGCTCTACACCAGGTTTACTTGAATGCATACAAATACTTCATCTTGACTTGGCTCTGGTGCCCCATGTGTTAAATTTGCTACGGTAACTGATTCAAAAACAATGGAGTCAAAGGAAGTTGGAGCTGCAGAATCTCCTGAATCTTCTATGGCATGAATCCGTTGTCTGCGGGACTTGGATTGACAGACTTCTGCAAGTGGTTTAATTTCTTAGAGTAGAAGCATGTCTGGCCACGTGCTGGGCATTTGGCTGACGCATTGTGAGGGCGGCCACAGTTCCTGCAAGTTTTCACTCCCCTGGGAGGCTTGAAGGATGGAGATGGCTGATTTTCTCTGACTTTGACTGAGTTTGTTCCGAAGACTATTCGGTCTCCTATCATTTCTTCTGGGTCTTTGAAATTGCAATCTTGGGCTAGAATTCGTAATGCCGTGATGAATTTCTCTGCCATTTCTGATGAGTCTTGGACTTGACTGTGGAATTTGAACCTGGCGAAAACAGGATTTGCTTTGGGACTTGCGTGACTCTCAAAACATTCGTAGTATGTTCCTAATTTCTTACAGTCATCATCGGAGATGTCAGACCACGTGTTGTAGATATCCCTTTCTTTCTGACCGACCCAGATGAGCAAATAGCTGCATTTCTCTTCTTCTGTTCCAGATTTGAGAGGTCCTGTAAACCTCAGCCTGACGTGTCGCTTGAAACGCTGCCAGTTTTCTTCCAGGTTGTCACCTTCCCACTGCATAACCGGGCATTTGATGCCGCTTAAAGCCATGTTTCCGACGTTTTTGGTTTACTTCTGACACCATGTAATAGACGCGAGCTATACCGAAGTGCATTCGAAGTACATACATGTATCATCACAATTACTATCTTTTGAACTGATATCAAGACAAGGTGACAGCATTATCTTAATGACGGTAACATTACCAGCCCGTGAAGCATTGTCTAGTAAGTTCCTTCCAGCACGCTTTTCAAAGATGGAGATGCTCTCTTGTCTATAAGGAAGTTAATTGCCTCTATCTCAGGTGTGTTTTTATATGCTAATAAAAACTGACACTGATTTTATTATCTGCTCTTCTCAACATGAAGTAGCCTTTTTGAAAATGGGTCATTTTGCTTCTTGTAAAAAAATTTTCTCCTCTCCCCACCTCGTCCCTATAATAAGACAATGTATGAAGCAAGCATGGATAACGCATGGATAAGCATAGATAAAACATAGATAAAGCATGGATAAAGCATGGATAAAGCATGAATAAAGCATGAATAAAACATGGATAAAGCATGAATAAAGCATGGATCAAGCATGGATCAAGCATGGATCAAGCATGGATCAAGCATGGATCAAGCATGGATCAAGCATGGATAAAACAAGGATCAAGCATGGATAAAGCATGAATAAAGCATGGATAAAGAATAAATAAAGCATGGATAAAGCAGGGTTCCGTGGGATTACAAAAATAACACAAATTACCTGTTGCTAAGTCATCATTGTCACTTGTGTCCTTTTGGTCGGCAAACTGGGTCACAGGTCTTTCTGCTAGTACAGTTGTGTTTTTGTAAGAATCTGAGGATAAAAAGACACTGTCACCGAATAAGCAATGTTCTTTTTCTTTTAACACCATCAATAAATTATATTGCACTTTACAAACATTCTGGTAATGTGCAACAGAATTTCCATGTTATTAGCCCAGTGTGGGGACTCCCATATCAAAAGAATGGGGTGCACATCAGAGAGTCCCCTGGGGGTTATTAGGTCAAAATTATGAATATGAAGGGTGGTGAAGTAGAGAAAAAAAAATATGCCTTCTTAATCAAACTATCCCATAGCTCTGATTTCTGTAGCATGAAGCAGCTATAAGAGTATTGCGTATCCTCCTAGATTGGATACTGGTCTATCTCACATCCTGTCAGGTTGCCTCAACAATTTGCAGATANATGCTAATAAAAACTGATACTGATTTTATTATCTGCTCTTCTCAACATGAAGTAGCCTTTTTGAAAATGGGTCATTTTGCTTCTTGTAAAACATTTTCTCCTCTCCCCACCTCGCCCCTGTAATGAGACAATGTATGAAGTAAGCATGGATAACGCATGGATAAGCATAGATAAAGCATGGATAAAGCATGGATAAAGCATGGATAAAGCATGAATAAAGCATGGATAAAGCATGGATAAAGCATGGATAAAGCATGAATAAAGCATGGATAAAGCATGGATAAAGCATGAATAAAGCATGGTCAATCATGGATCAAGCATGGATAAAGCATGGATAAAACATGGATCAAGCATGGATAAAGCATGGATAAAACATGGATCAAGCATGGATAAAGCATGAATAAAGCATGGATAAAGAATAAATAAAGCATAGATAAAGCAGGGTTCCATGGGATTACAAAAATAACACAAATTACCTGTTGCTAAGTCATCATTGTCACTTGTGTCCGTTTGGTCGGCAAACTGGGTCACAGGTCTTTCTGCGAGTACAGTTGTGTTTTTGTAAGAATCTGAGGATAAAAAGACATTGACACCGAATAAGCAATGTTCCTTTTCTTTTAGCACCATCAATAAATTATATTGCACTTTACAAACATTCTCGTAATGTGCAACAGAATTTCCATGTTATTAGTCCAGTGTGGGGACTTCCATATCAAAAGAATGGGGTGCACATCAGAGAGTCCCCTGGGGGTTATTAGGTCAAAATTATGAATAAGAAGGGTGGTGAAGTAGAGAAAAAAAAATATGCCTTCTTAATCAAACTATCCCATAGCTCTGATTTCTGTAGCATGAAGCAGCTATAAGAGTATTGCGTATCCTCCTAGATTGGATACTGGTCTATCTCACATCCTGTCAGGTTGCCTCAACAATTTGCAGATACACATTGATATACAGTCGCACCTCCTGTAAGCAACAACCCAAAATATCAAGCCTAGGTGATCACTAATGCCAGATTGGCACTTACCAGAGCTTAGACAATATTGAGTCAAAATTTTGCCTCATTAGCATATGGTAACTGCAGAGACTTACCCATGTGCCAACCCCACCTAACCCGTGTGAAAACTTTTATTAGCCACAAAAATATTCAAGCTTTCCAAAGTATTTAGTCAGAGTATCGCTATGCTAAACTACCTAATAAGGCAAATGGAACAAGTCCCATATGTTACAAATTGAATCTTGAATGTTGTCTAAACATTACAGGTAACTGAACATGAACTAATTAAGGATTGGATTGCTAACTTTAAATTTGACAGCCCTTTTATGTTGTTGGTGAGTTACATGTTAACTGTTGCCTGTTCTTGAGTGAACAGTGAATCAGGAAATCAGTTCTAATGTTCTGTAATTATAAGACATTTATGGTTGTCTCTTTTAAGACTGATGAGGTACAAGTATGTGCATTCTTCATTAGTACATTTTTAAATGTTTTATTCATGTAAAATTCAATTTCAAGAAAAAATCCAGTAATTCCAAATAAGAAATTTCCATCTTTTTTACTAGCAAGGAATGTAACAATATTACAACAACTTTTATCCAATTTCTGCTCTATTTTCTGTCAAGTGGCTCCTTACAGGAGGTTAAAAATAAAAGAAAATTTCAAGCTTTTAACTCTAAAAGTGGTTGCAGCCGCTTATGAGAGGTGGTTGCTCACAAGAGGTTCCAAATATAGTCATTTAACTGGAACACTTTTAGTACTTTGGAAACCTGGTTGCTGAGGAGAGGTGGTACTCGCTTATGAGAGGTTGTCGCAACCAGATGTCAGACTGTATTTATCAGGTGGAGAGATGCACCATGAAAGTAAAGAGTCTTTCCCACGCACACCACACAGTCACAATGACCCTAGCTAGGGCTTGAACCAAGACTGCGAGCAGGCTCAGAGCAGGCTCACCTTTGAGTCATATGCCCATGGTGAAGAGGGAAGCGATCCAGCAGGGTGAAGTCTGATGAAGATCGAGGTGCCAAGAAAGTGAGCCTGCCTTGATCTCTGTTAGTAATTTTTTCATTTCTACTTCGCCTGAGTGAAGTGAGACACCATTGGTCAAAAAGCAGGAGGAGAGAAAACTGTCAATCTATTATGTGTGATGAAGGGTGATTATATTAGATCCCAATGGAGTCCATAATTAACCACAGGTTCTCAAGGTGCAATGTAAGTCATCCACATTTGGAGTTAGAGGAAGAGTTGAGTGTGCATATTATTTCATAACTGATGTCTTAAGGTGATTCCTCAGTATTACATTGCGCATCCCTACTGTGCATGATTTTCACATCATTAGCATGCACACAATGTAAGAGATTTCTCCCAAACTAAGCCCAAGAGCGTAATAAATGCTCATTTTCTCTTACATGAGCATGATGACCTATATTTTTTATTGCATAATGTTTGTGCACAAATTATCCGCTTTAAGTTAAAAAATTTAACAAAACATTGTTCGGAAGGAAAAAAAATACCTAAAACAGTGCACAAAAGCTGTTACTCGAGGAAGTGAATCATGACCTCGAAAATGACAATTCAAGGAACAATTTGAGCCAATGTCACTTAAAATTGTGTGATTTTTCTTTAAATTATATAGTAGTTCCAACTGTCCCAGACTTTCTACCAACCAAGATTTTTTCAAGTTTTACTTTTAATAACCTTTGCTTTCCATTACTGCATAATGTGACATTAATTGATGGGATGAAATGTGTAGTTAGGCATAAATTGGGTAAGAATGGTCCATGGTGACCTCTCCTTTTTATTGCATTTTTCGTAACGACGCTTGGTAGGGAACATTCACGGAAAGCTTCAAAAAAATTATTTGGCAACTTATATTTCTGAGGAATTACCTTAACAAAGTTCCAGTCTATTTCTGGATAAATTTCAAACTAAAGAGGGAGCAGGAAATAACAGTTAAAGGTGTGTTAATGAAACAAGACATACTTGTCGTATAATTTGCTAAATTACATATGGCAAGAGTGGTGGCAAGCAGGCAATGAAACAACATGAAGGCGTCTGCCTGTTTTATTTCATCATTTATGACTATTTATAATTCCTGTGAGTCTTTTTTTAAGCCGTTTTATATTTTTGTACTTTTAGCACATTTTATGCTTTTTATATATCTTTGTTTTAGTTTGTTAGCTTCTTTTTGAATATTTCTTATTATTATATGGCTCTGGCTTGTGGCCGATATAACGCGCGCTCTGATTGGCTAAGAGCGAGATCTGAGCGGTCATTATGCAGCGTAATGCCCACGGGCCGATTTTGGATTATGCAAATTAGGAAGAACCCAGCTCTGAAAATTCAATCAAAGTTTGCCGAGTCTTAAGTAATGCTAAACTTGCTAAGTGAAAAATACCATCGGCAGATCTGTCATGCATCCTGAGCAGAACACAATGAAGAAAATTATAAGATATCATCTTAGTCACAACAATTACAGAAATATTAAACTCAGTCACAGTTCTCATCAAATATACTCACTCGCTTTACACAAGCAAGGGTAAATCAGCTTCCAGGATCATCAGATGTAAACAATCAGGTGGTTTCTGTCGGTAGCAGTGTTTCTAATAACTGCCGGAAGTTTTAGATGTTCACAAGGCTTGAAAAGTTCATCCGTAAATCCCAGAATGAAGAAAGTGAAGATATGTTGTCGAAAGCCAATGCAAAGATCAAGCTGTTCTAAGCAGTGCATTCTGAAGCATTAGTATTTTGTTACACCGAAAGACCTTTGGTTTGGACTAATTTGAAGCACTTTCTGTCTTTTCCATGTGCGTTGACGTTTCGCCACAAAAGTCGGAAAAACTCCCCCATCAACTTGTGGCACCACNCCAGTACTTCCAAATAAGAAATTTCCATCTTTTTTACTAGCAAGGAATGTAACAATATTACAACACCTTTTATCCAATTTCTGCTCTATTTTCTGTCAAGTGGCTCCTTACGGGAGGTTAAAAATAAAAGAAAATTTCAAACTTTTAACTCTAAAAGTGGTTGCCGTCGCTTATGAGAGGTGGTTGCTCACAAGAGGTTCCAAATATAGTCATTTAACTGGAAAACTTTTAGTATTTTGGAAACCTGGTCGCTGAGGAGAGGTGGTACTCGCTTATGAGAGGTTGTCGCAACCAGATGTCAGACTGTATTTATCAGGTGGAGAGATGCACCATGAAAGTAAAGAGTCTTTCCCACGCACACCACACAGTCACAATGACCCTAGCTAGGGCTTGAACCAAGACTGCGAGCAGGCTCAGAGCAGGCTCACCTTTGAGTCATATGCCCATGGTGAAGAGGGAAGCGATCCAGCAGGGTGAAGTCTGATGAAGATCGAGGTGCCAAGAAAGTGAGCCTGCCTTGATCTCTGTTAGTAATTTTTTCATTTCTACTTCGCCTGAGTGAAGTGAGACACCATTGGTCAAAAAGCAGGAGGAGAGAAAACTGTCAATCTATTATGTGTGATGAAGGGTGATTATATTAGATCCCAATGGAGTCCATAATTAACCACAGGTTCTCAAGGTGCAATGTAAGTCATCCACATTTGGAGTTAGAGGAAGAGTTGAGTGTGCATATTATTTCATAACTGATGTCTTAAGGTGATTCCTCAGTATTACATTGCGCATCCCTACTGTGCATGATTTTCACATCATTAGCATGCACACAATGTAAGAGATTTCTCCCAAACTAAGCCCAAGAGCGTAATAAATGCTCATTTTCTCTTACATGAGCATGATGACCTATATTTTTTATTGCATAATGTTTGTGCACAAATTATCCGCTTTAAGTTAAAAAATTTAACAAAACATTGTTCGGAAGGAAAAAAAATACCTAAAACAGTGCACAAAAGCTGTTACTCGAGGAAGTGAATCATGACCTCGAAAATGACAATTCAAGGAACAATTTGAGCCAATGTCACTTAAAATTGTGTGATTTTTCTTTAAATTATATAGTAGTTCCAACTGTCCCAGACTTTCTACCAACCAAGATTTTTTCAAGTTTTACTTTTAATAACCTTTGCTTTCCATTACTGCATAATGTGACATTAATTGATGGGATGAAATGTGTAGTTAGGCATAAATTGGGTAAGAATGGTCCATGGTGACCTCTCCTTTTTATTGCATTTTTCGTAACGACGCTTGGTAGGGAACATTCACGGAAAGCTTCAAAAAAATTATTTGGCAACTTATATTTCTGAGGAATTACCTTAACAAAGTTCCAGTCTATTTCTGGATAAATTTCAAACTAAAGAGGGAGCAGGAAATAACAGTTAAAGGTGTGTTAATGAAACAAGACATACTTGTCGTATAATTTGCTAAATTACATATGGCAAGAGTGGTGGCAAGCAGGCAATGAAACAACATGAAGGCGTCTGCCTGTTTTATTTCATCATTTATGACTATTTATAATTCCTGTGAGTCTTTTTTTAAGCCGTTTTATATTTTTGTACTTTTAGCACATTTTATGCTTTTTATATATCTTTGTTTTAGTTTGTTAGCTTCTTTTTATATAAAGCACTTTTGAATATTTCTTATTATTATATGGCTATGGCTTGTGGCAGATATAACGCGCGCTCTGATTGGCTAAGAGCGAGATCTGAGCAGTCATTATGCAGCGTAATGCCCACAGGCCGATTTTGGATTATGCAAATTAGGAAGAACCCAGCTCTGAAAATTCAATCAAAGTTTGCCGAGTCTTAAGTAATGCTAAACTTGCTAAGTGAAAAATACCATCGGCAGATCTGTCATGCATCCTGAGCAGAACACAATGAAGAAAATTATAAGATATCATCTTAGTCACAACAATTACAGAAATATTAAACTCAGTCACAGTTCTCATCAAATATACTCACTCGCTTTACACAAGCAAGGGTAAATCAGCTTCCAGGATCATCAGATGTAAACAATCAGGTGGTTTCTGTCGGTAGCAGTGTTTCTAATAACTGCCGGAAGTTTTAGATGTTCACAAGGCTTGAAAAGTTCATCCGTAAATCCCAGAATGAAGAAAGTGAAGATATGTTGTCGAAAGCCAATGCAAAGATCAAGCTGTTCTAAGCAGTGCATTCTGAAGCATTAGTATTTTGTTACACCGAAAGACCTTTGGTTTGGACTAATTTGAAGCACTTTCTGTCTTTTCCATGTGCGTTGACATTTCGCCACAAAAGTCGGAAAAACTCCCCCATCAACTTGTGGCACCACGATACTAAAACACCTTTTTGAGGCTGTGACAATCACTTTTCCCATAAAGAAATGTGTATTTCTACAGAATACGTAATACAGTGGTGAAGTTCACTGACTGTGTAGTTTCGCCCTGGGTTTGAGACGATGAATGAATCGGTAAATGTGCGCATCGCCGGATGTAAACTGACGACTTCCGCTTGAATAATTTTTTTCTTTTCTTTAATTCATGGGCCATATAATAAACAACTTAATAACCTCGACCGTGCAATCGTTATGGGAAAATCTCAAACCTTGGCCTACCGCATTGACCTCGCTATTGCTCAGTCAATATGGCAAGGCCTCAGTTTGAGATTTTCCCGTAACGACCTCACTCGCGGTTATTAAGTAGTTAGTATTAGCACTCTATAAATGTATTATTACTATTATTATTATTATTATTATTATTATCACCATCAAAGACCAGATTGCCAGAGCAAGATCACTTGGAATCAAGTGTGTGTCCTCGCTAGGCATAAACTTTCACCGTCTTTCTTCACCAAAACTTTATTAACAACAGAAATTGTGTATGCATGTTGTTATGAAAAAGAATGAAAATTTTCCCACAAAATCTTCCAGGTTGGAAATGAAAAATTCACAGAGATCACAGCAGGCTCACTTTCGATCTTGCTTTCTCTCACTTTCTTAACCAATGGGAATATACAAACATAAAATCAGTGGTACTTTGTTTCTATTACCCAGTCTCCTCATCTTGAGTTTGTTTGAAACACTGAATACTTTATATGGCAATTGGAGAACTCACTCTTTAGCAAATATAGGCAGACAAAACAGATTTATTAAGAATAGTGTAAGGAGGCAAATCACAATGCAAATTATACATACCATCTGGATTACAAATAATATGTAACCCTTCCACTAAATTCTGAATCACCCTTTTGAACTTCTTGCATTCTGTGCTCCATGAGTAGGTCTTCCTGTAGTTCTCTCTGAGCAGCNACTTGGAATTGAATGTGTGTTCTTGCTAGGCCTAAACTTTCAATATTTTTCTTCACCAAAACTTTATCAACAACAGCAATCACACCTCCATCGCTTACGAAAAAGACTGAAAATTTTCCTAAAATATCTGACTTGCCAAAGTTCATACTTCTAGTGCAAAAAGGTTGGCCTTTTTTTCTACAGTTTCCGTGGTGGAAATGAAAACTTTGCGGAGATCAGAGCAGGCTCACCTCCTGGCTTTCTCTCAATTTCTTTATCAATGGGAGTATAGAAACATAAAATCAGTGGTACTGTGTTTCTATTACCCAGTCTCCACATCTTAAGTTTGTTTGAAACATTGAATACTTGATTGGCAATTGGAGAACTTACTCTTTAGCAAATATAAGCAGACAAAACAGATTTATTAAGAATTGTACAAGGAGGCAAACCTTAATGCGAATCATACATACCATCTGGATTACATGTAATATGTAACCCTTTCACTAAATTCTGAATCACTCTTTTGAACTTCTCACATTCGGTGCTCCAAGAGTGGGTCTTCCTGTAGTTCTCTCTGAGCAGCTTGGCATTGTTCTCTCTCTCTTCTGGGGTTTGGCTGGACAGCTGTTGGATCCTTTGAGCCCATTCCCCGGCATTATCAGTATCAACAATAACAGAATCTCCACCCTCTACCTCTTCTAAAGCATCAGCTATTCCTGACTCATCAGATACAAGAACAGGCACACCAGCAGAAATGGCTTCCAAGGCAACCAATCCAAACCCCTCAGTGCGGGATGGTAATGTTACTAAATCTGCCTCACGGAACATCATTCTAAGCTCATCTTGCTCGTTGCAATAACTACGGATAGTTAATTGGTTGCGCTTTATACATGAGTTGTCAAGAAACCATTGTTCTATATTTCGGTGTTCACCTGTCGATGAGCCAACAAAGGTCAGCTCAAACTTCTTTCCAAGAGAGCCAATGGCATTTGCAATAATGTCATAACCTTTGAGAGTTAGATCCTCAAAGCTTGATCGGCCAAACATAAAAACATTGAATTTCTTTGCCACTATAGTCAGCGGTGTTGATTCACTGCAGAACTTTTCCAAAATCCCAGGAGTAATCATCTCTACTTTAACATTTGGCAGACTTCTGCTGTACTTCTCTTGTAGTCGTGAACCCACAGCGACCACTGCATCTGCTGCTTTGCACAGAGCAATTTCATCTTTATGTTTC